GTTGATCTGAATTTATATGTGTAGTTAATAGTAATGGAACAAATCCTATCGTGGATTTTTTTTCTTGTTCTTCTAATGTTTTATTTTTTGTTTTGCTCATTTTTTCTGCTTTATGAGCTGTGTGGAGGCCTAGATATTTCTTGATGATGGTGTGTACTTTTCATGATTTTTGATTTTTTTTTTAATTCCTTTTGTCAATAATTAACAGAAGCAACTGATTGATTTATTTCTGGCCAGTGTCCAAAACGTTGTTGTTCTTGCAAAATTTTCCATGACCTGAAATTTGATTTATATTTTTTTGCAATATAGATGAACAGCAAGCTCCTTGGCTTGTTTCTTTTATAGTAATCCTTTTCCAAGAGAAACACAAACGCTATAGGAATATATAAATATATAAGACGAACATATATGAGCAAACTAGTGCGTGGTCCGTGCGATACACGGGAAAAAATATTACGATTGTATTATAAATTAAATATATAAATAACATTAATCATGATTTATCCATTATTTTTAAATTAAATCGGGTTGGACACAGTCTGACCGGATGGATCGAGAACCGGTTTATAACCAGTCTAGTTCGTTTGAATAAAATATTTGCTCTCGAATCCGTCACCACCAGTCGGTTGGACTGATAGGATCGATGCGATTTTCAAAATAAATTTTATTATATTTAAAAATTACATATTTAAATAAAATAGAGATTTATAAATTATTTATCAATTAGTTTAAACATTTCAAAAAATTAAGATTAATTGATTGATTATGCAATTTAAAGAATATTTTTAGCGTTCAATTTTTTTTAAGGCACAAATATAAAGACCGAGATTCAAAAACTTTTGTTATATTTTGAATTGAGATTTTATAAATATAGAGACTGAGATTTAATATTGTTTGTTGTTTCTAAGAAAAAAAATAAAAATAAAAACATACACACTTAATAAATCTTAGCCGGATTTTTTAAATAATAAAATGAACTAAAGCCTGAAATTTAAGGTAGCATTTAATGTTGTATGATTTTTAAATAAAAAAATAAGAAAAATATAAAACTTACTATTTATAGGCTGCATTAAATTATTGACCTATTTTTTTGCTACTATATTTGGTAAATGTTAATTCTTATTATATATATATAGATAACACATTTCTGGAATTGGAAATTTTCATTGCTTGATCAATGAGTGGTTACAATCATCAGACGGCTTCGAGGTTACACAAGAATAATTTAGACCCAGGGAATGGAGATCTGCTAGGCTACTAAGGCCGAACAACGTAACTTTAACAAAGTGACAGAAAATGAAAAAAATTAAAAAAAAAAAAAAAAAAAAAATTGAAACTGTCCCTTGTATAGTTGTATGCATGATTCAACTCATTTGGATGCCAAGCCAACATAGAGGTGGTAAGGATCGGCTCGGCTCGGAACTGTCTCGGAACCGGCCCGAACGTACAGTTCTTGAAACCGGACCAGTGCTAAAACCGGGCCGGTTCCGGGTCAGCTCCGGGCCAGAAGAAGGTCCGAGTTATTTTTTATTTTTTTTATTAACAAAAATCGGAGTCAGGCCGGTTCAGAATCTAGCTTTTGAGGCTCGGCGAACCGCCGGTCCGAGTCGTGAACCGGTCCGCCTGATTGCCACCCCTAAGCCGACAATTATCAATCTGGGCCGCAGTCCAGGCAACCAATCGTCGAGTTTCTACTAGATAAATGGAGAAATCATACCCTATTATAGAAAGCAACCATGGTTGTTATTTGTCGAAAAAAAAAAGAAAAAAATTGTAAATTTGCAAAAATATCCATGTGGTAAAAATATTAGTTACTAGAAAAAAGGCATTCAAACATCTAACAACAAAGCCCGACTGTGAAAACAAACGTCTAGGAGTTAAGCTTCGATGCCCAACAAACGTTCACCGTAAAAGCAAACGTCCAGGAGCTAAGCTTGGAAGTCAAACAAACGTCCAACCGTGTAGTCTGACTGTGAAGAAGAACGTCTAATGGCAAAGGGGCAACACATTTTGAACTTTTAGAATTCAAACTTATCATTACAATTAACGTCCCAGGAGGAAGCTTAAGGCCATATAAAACGTCCAGTAGCTAAGCTTTGAAACCAAACAAAAGTCCAACCGTGAAGCCCGACTGTGAAGAGGAAGTTTCACAACGAAAGCTTGTATTGGTCATAAACGTTCAAAAGCAAATCTTGCCAACGAAAAGGGAAACACATTTGAACTTTTGGAATTCAAGTTTATCATACAATCAAACGCCCAAGGAGGAAGCTTATGGCAACAACAGACGTCCTTAAGGAAAGCTTAGTGTACCCAGAAACTTCCAACGTAAAAGCTTCCTCAAGAATTTGATTTCTTCCACATATCACTCAAACTAATTTCTCCAATATCTCAAAATAATTAACCTAACATCAACCCAAACAACAACGTTTTGAAAGGATATAGAATTGTTATTTTGTAATATATCCTTATTTTAATATAATTTTAATAATAAAATCGTAATTATATTTAATAATAACGAAAAAAAAGAGTTTAGGGTTTATGGTTTAGTTATGAAATAAAATTAATATCTTATTAGTTTATAGATAGTTATGATAGTTGTGAATGAACCTCACTTAAACTATTAATGCAACACAATGGACCTCACTTTTTAGTGAATCAAAGTAGAGGTACCGTATTCACGTTCTTGTGTTATTAATATATTTTATGTTACATTTGATCCTATATAAATTTGATAACTTTTAAAATGCAAATAAAATATAGTAATAACAATTAAGCTTCACTTAAATTTCATGTTTAGTAATACATGATCTCGAATTGATTTTTTCCTGTTTAAAAAAAAATACTTAAAATGAGGGTTTAAGGTTTAGTTATGAAATATAATATAATTAATATCTTATTAGGTTGTAGATAAATATGATAGTTGTGAATGGACATCACTTAGGCGATTGATCCAACAAAATGAACCTCACTTTTTAGTGAATCAAAGTAAAGGTATTGTATGCACGTTCAAGTTTATATCTTATGGGTTCAAAGTACTAGTAATTGCCATGGTCGCCTTGAATTGACCTGTGGTCAATAGGCCCATAACCGAGCCTGGACCGACCGGTTCTAGGTCTCATGTATAAAATTTTTGGCCCGGAGAGTCGGGTCCATGACAGCTCGCCATATTTTCCTTTTTTTATTTTTTTTAACCTGTGGACCGGGTCAGGTCGGCTTGTGGCCAGGAGTTAGCCTGTTGGCAGCCTGCTAATCTAGGCTGTTGAAAGCTCCGAGCTCGGGTCGGCCTGGGCCAGGAGTTAGCCCGTTGGCAGCCTGCTAATCTAGGCTGTTGAAAGTTTTTGACCGTTGGATAGGCTGTTGAAAGCTTTTGACTGTTGGAGATCCAATACGATCAGATTTTTCTTTTAAATCCGCTTCCCCGGTCTGGGTTTGGGTTAAGTTTCGACCCGTCGCTCCGGCTCAACAACGGTTGGCCAACGATCAGATTTTCAAACCTAACCGTTGCATCATCTTGACCGTTGAGACCAACGGTCAAGATTCAGCCGCCACGCCTGCCCCACCGAACTCGGACCCGAGGGTCTTCCTCTCTTCTCTACTCTTTTCTAAGCTCTTGAAATGCTAATTTTTAGTTTTTGCTCGGTTTTTTGTAATTAATATCTTATGGAAAAGGGGCAAAACATTAGGTGTGCGTTAATAAAATTTGATGATTTTTAAAATACAAATAAAATATAGTAATAATAATTAAGTTTCACTTAAATTTCACTTAAAAAGTACTTGATCTTTAATTAATTTTCTATAATTAATTTCATTCTTAGTAATACTTTAAAGATATCTTCAGCTCATATCCTGAGTATATGGCAAGAAAGTAGCAATAATGCAGAGCTTTCTATAACTCTTATGTATTTGCCCGTCTTCAAAATAATCCGTAAAATCTTCCAAATTCATCCTATAAACAGTTCAATTACACAATTTTATTACCAAATTTCATAAAATGTAAACTATTAATAATAATCATAATTCATATAGATGATAAACAAAGGAAACTCTAAAAATTCAGTTGTAAAAAAACAAGCTTTTAGTGCAAACGCTTGAACTACATATAAGCCTTACGTTTAGACATTTCATAAGCTTCCAAGCTTTGTGTATTTACGTTTCTTAGGTGTTTTCTATAATATACTGGACGTTTCACTTTACAGTCGGGCTTTCGAATTAGACATTTCATGGGTCATGTAGTTCGATATTAAAAAGTTTACTCCTAATGTAAGCTTATTAAACAGACATTTTAGGCCATGTTCTAGCTTTTACTAGGGACGTTTAGTGAACGAACATAAACCCTAACCTACATATATTATCACTTTATTCATTCTACCATTCTAATCAACCCATCACATTGGTTTAATGCAACATATATGACGAGGGTTAATGATTCAAGTCCTAAAATAACACAAGCACTAAAAAATCAAGAGACCCATAAAAACAATTAGGGGTTAACACGTTATTTATCTCATTTGCAAGTGTTCTCGATGGTGTTGGATTACTAGACATGTGGAATAATGAAGAATAATATGAAGATTGGTGGGTTATTTATTTATGAAGAGGAAGAAGGAAATTGGTGAAGGTGTGGATTTTGGTAAAAGTGAGGAAGAAGGAGATTACTAAGATGTGGATTTTGGTAAAAGTGGATCCAATTTAGGGGCAACAAATAGCAATTTTGATAAAAATAGTAATTTTTGTAAAACTGGGGAAATTTTTTTTTATGATGACAAAACTGTAATTTCAATTATTATTATTTTGTTTTTTACCCTTTATTATATATAATATTTTAGTTTTTATTTTTAACATCATTAAGAATATATTTATCATTTTAACATTATTTTCCCTTCCATTTTATTTTCTTACCAAACAAGGTTTACCATTTTTTCTCTCTCGCAAAATTCTTCCAAACAAAGTGAAATTTACTTTACATCAGTCTCCTTCATTTCTTTCCCCTCCATTAAAATCCCTCCCTCCCTTTCTCTCAATTGAACCAAACGTACCCTTACGTGGAGATTTGGCCTTATTAAACCGTGAACAAAGATTTTTCCCAGAAAAAGAAAGCGTCTCTTGTGACTTGTGATATTTTCCTCATTCTCCATCTCCGTCCACTCAAAACACACCCACCCACATAAAACATAGTGAGAGAGAGAGAGAGCATGGCAATGGTGAACGGCTGCCTCTCTGTGACCTGCACTGTGTCGCCCGCTTCACAAGACTTTCCCAATTCTTCATCACAATCTAGACCGCCGACGAAAATCATTCTCCCCAATAGAAAACCTTTGAAATGGTCCACTGGGGTGGCCCCGGGGGATTACGGGGGCCCACCCACCTCTTCCAAGCTCAGAAAATATTGGGGTGGAGACGAGGACCCTCTTGCATCGGATGACTATATGTGGAATAAAGATTTCATGGGACGCATGAAAAGGCTTATTCAAGACCCTGAGGATGCTCAGGATTTATCCTCCGACCCATCTTCTTCTAAGGTTATTTTGTTTCCTCACCACTTGTTACCTTGTTAATTAATTCTTTTTGTAAAATTTCCCTTTGTTTTTGTATTAATGTGCCTATTCACCTTTTTTGATTGGTCTGAGATTGAATTTATTGAAAATTATGATTTCTGTGGTTTTATATGGGAATTGGATATCTGCTCTTGCTTTAACAAGTTCAGTGATGCTACGGCATTGTCGTATAGATTACGATTTTATTTTTTTCACTTGTTTAAAGAAATGTGTGCAGATTTCTGTAGAAAAGTAAGTGTTTAGACATTGCTAGGGTGTATTGAATTAGTTTATCACTGATGCTATTTGGAGCCATTTTCTTTATAGGAGGAGCCTTCTGGGTTTCTTAATTTGAATCGAGTCATGAACTTGGACAGGTATGTATCCCTGTGATTACTCTAATTCTCACCTTTCATTCACTGCGTACCATATTACAGCCCTCTTTGATTGTGCAGTTTGGATATAGACTTGAGTAAAGAGCTCAAAGCAACTTCAGCCACAGTAGTGGAACTCAAAGCTGAGGACGAACAAGTATAATTTGAAATTTCCAGATGCATTTTTTCTATATCCATGTTGCGCATTGTACTATTTTTTATCCTTCCTGGATACTCATCAGGCATAAAATTTAATGTTTCTAGACTGTTAGAAGTCCTGGTACAAGATGGAGAGCGGCCCCCACACGTCGTGAGCAAGAGAAGTGGGGTAGAGCTACCAAGGCCGCAACTGGTGGCAGTGTAAGTAGTGTAAATTGTAGGTTACAGTCTTCTGATTATGTAAATTGTTAAGAGGTAGTACATTTGTTTCTTGATAATGGATTTGTGAGTTTAATGTCCAGTTACCGATAATTTTGCTTTCTTCATTTGTTTTATTTTGATCTTCAGGATGTCATGCTTCGGGAATCGAGACGCTCTAGGGGGGATCCTGAAGTATTGGCGGCTCAGTCTAGGGAACAGTACTATAAGGTGCTTTTTTATCTCGAAATTATTGACCTTGTATATATTCTTCAAAGGACCCATTCTCAACAATCTGCCTTGTTCAGTTGAAAAACAAATTGCAAGCACTCACACTGGCAATTGGTGGTGTTGGAGTTCTCTCGTCTTACTTTGCGTATACGCCAGAAATTGCAGCAAGGTACCTAAGGCTACTTATATTTAAAAGCTCATATTGGAGTTATACAACATGTGAGTTCCTTTTTTTTTTTTTTTTTCGATTTTTTTTTTTTTTTTTCGAAAGCACATGTAATATTTCAACTTGCCTGCAGTCAGTATCATGATCATAAATAGTTAATTCTTGATCTCTATTGGAATTATTATTCAACATTATCCCATCTCTGTACTCAACTATCAATGACGAATTTTCTTTATTATGAATTTCATCCAGCTATGGTGCTGGCTTGCTTGGTTCAGTGGCATATATGAGAATGCTTGGGAACACTGTGGATTCCATGGCAGATGGAGCAAGAGGACTTGTCAAGTATGTTTTTCCATTGCTCTTCTTCCAGATTCAAAAATCTTGGAAAGACCTTTAGTAATTTATAGTAAGCTCGGGAATTTTATACTATCAAAGATGCATGGTTCTGGGATATAATTGATCAACACAGCTGATAATGCACTGCCTGTGACCTCTATATTGAAGAGGATCCTTTCATTTACTTGATGACCAGCAAGTAACAAGAGTAAAAATGAGAAGGAAAACTATGTAAATGTTTAATTTGATTTAGTGTCACTTTTAGATTGCTTCACTGAAAGCAGGTTCATTTCGTGGGAAGCTAATTGTTGATCGAGAATATTCTGCAAATCTCATTGCTTTTTTAGTTAAATTCTCCATTTCATATCCATTTCCTGCAGTGTTTACCATTTAGTTTAGGCCTTTTTTTAAAATTTTTTTCAAGTTTCGTTGTCTATTTCAGGGGAGCAGTTGGACAGCCAAGGATATTGGTTCCTGTTGTCTTGGTGATGTTGTATAATCGTTGGAACGAGTAAGCATCTTAAAGAGGCACTGTTGTTTATGATAATTTTAGACGATCATAATAATTTTATTAACTTGAAAAAAGACATGATGTGTAGGATTTTAGTTCCGGACTATGGGTTTATGCAGCTTGAATTGATTCCAATGCTTGTGGGTTTCTTCACGTACAAGATTGCCACTTTGATGCAAGTGATTGAGGACGTGTTTAATGCAGCTGGTGGGCAAAACCAAGTTTGATTTTTGAGTATTTGCATGTGATTTGATATTGTAATGTCAAAAATGAATGGGCTAAAGAATGTGATTTATAGTTGGAGACGAGTGCAGTGCAGATGCTGGATGGAAAATCCATACATGTTCTCCAGCTTAAAAGTATGCTCAAACATTGTAAACCTGACTCTTTACGAGCCTAACTTAAACGAGCTTTCAACCAAAAATCAATTATCGATTTTCAATACTCGAACGAAAAGAAAGGATGGATGCCTTTTCTTTTTTTTTTTTCTTTCTTTTTTTTTTTAAAATAATTATTTATTATCTTCTGTGATGTGGCAACAAGAAAAGTATGGATTTGGGTTATGATTCTACATAATATCAGTCATAGACAGAATAATAATAATGCAGTATATTAATATAGATGTTAGATGGAAAAGGACTCTACCTTAATACCTTTCAGACTCTCACTAACCATTTTGAAAAGCTTATGGCATGTGTAAAACTAATCATAAATGGATCAATATTTAGCAAAAAAAAAGCATAAGTGCCATAAGTTCATTAGTTTAGTGTATTTTTTTTTATTTTTTTTAAAAAAAATCCTAGCTTCTTTTCAACAATCAGAACTGGGGGTCATTCACAAGTCAACATGTTTTCTTGAGTGTCATTTTTACTCTTACCCCAAAGGGAGATATTTAATTGCATAAGCAAGTTCAGATGCTCTTTAGACAATCAGAATAACACAGAACTAAAGTCAAGTCAGAGAATATTCATCAGAATAATACAAAAAATGTGGGTTCCTCTTACCCACAGCATATGGATTTTTAACATCTGCTCACTTCCAACTTCTAATTACAAATGAACCAAAAACTAATAAGTCTTAATAGCAGCCACAGATGAAAAATGCAGTTCTAAATTCATATTACACAAGGTCTTCAGTCCATCCCCCACCCCATCTAAGTACAACAAGGCTCGTTATAATAGCTAAATAAAACAGAAAATGTAAATCCATCCTTGTTTTACAATGTACATTAAGAAAGAAACTAAGAAGGTATTGAGACCATTAGTACCATACCTCCCTTTGTAATGCCTCATCAAGCTCCTGCTTATCATCAGCTGTGATATCCTTTGCATTCAGCTGAGTCAAAAAGTCACGGATTCTGAGAGAAATTNCGCAAGAGATAACAACTACTTAAGTAAATCTTTTCTTGAAATTACATTTATTACAAAGAATGCACAAAAATGTACAACAAACCTGGCATGTTGCCGTTAGGACCAAATCCACCGTTTGATTCTTGAGAGCATAAAAAACTTTTGTGTAAATGTGCAATGAACAACAATTGTATGATTTTTCTGAAAAAAGCAAATTTTAAGTTCCAAGGACTTGCTACTGCAAGATCATGCCTAAAAGAGGAGTCTAATTATTAGCTACTAAAACTACTAGTGTGATTCCACAAGTACAAATATAAAAAAGAATAGTCAGCATACAAGTAACAATAACAAAGTTAGTAAAAAGTCTAACTTTTGATGTTTACAATAAGTGGAGATAAACAAGAAGCTCTAGATGGAACCCTTTCAAGGTGTACTGTTAACATTTTCTATATTTCTAGAAAAAAACTCAATACTTGAAGATAATAATAGGGAGATAAAAATTCAACAACTTCTCAAAACCACAAACTCCAAACTCTTATGTCAAAGAAAAAAAAAAGACAAAAGATTGAGAGAGAGAACTTTTTAAACAGTCAGACGGCATATAATTGCTGGTATCACATTGACCATAACTAAGAAAAGCTAAAATAACAAAAATGTAACCTCCACAGAGTAACAAAAAACTTGCCAATAGCCTAAAATAAGAATAAATTAACAGAACTGAAATATTTATTATTAATTAAAAAAAAGAAGAAGATAAATTTAACCGTTTCTCTGATTTCGTCCCCATGCAAATCCTGGAGAATATCAAGAAAACGATCCAAAAGCAGAGCATCATACTCGACCAGTTTATCATCCTCAGAGGCCTTTCCAGGAGCCAACAGCCTCAACTGCGCATCAATTGATGCCATTTTCTCAATCTTCCTACTCATTTTCTTCTCTCCTCACTCTATATAGCCCCGTTAAAGAGGGAAAGAAAAACAATAAATGCTGCCCGCTCCTATTCCCACCTGTTTATAAGAAAAAGGAAAGAAGATAGAATGGACACGAGATTTCTAGGTGGTTTAACTTAAGCCAAGGCAGTCACGGGCTAAATTGGAGTTGTAAGAGAAAAAGGATTAAGGAAGCATTCATTCAAGAGAGGAAGTAGATAAGATGAAACGATAGTTTCAGGGGTGCTTCTCTCTAGCTTTACAGACAAATTTCTTGAAAGTTCAGTTGAGTATCACGAGTACAGTAAAGCTTTTTTTTTTTTTTTTTTTTTNCTCTCTCTCTTTAAAAGAACTAGTAAGGTGCACGTGCGTTGCACGTGTACCGAATTTAAATTTTAAGTTTGTAAAATGTAGTTTGAAATCATAAAATATAGCAAAATAATTATTTTTCCCATTAGATATTTTAATAGTTTATGAACATTATGAATTGCTGATCGTTTAGTCATTGGTGTGAAATCCCATATAATGAGTTGGGTTATGCATAGTAGTTTATCGAAACATAAGTTTATTCAGAGATGGTAGTTGCGTTGTAAAGATTTTGAATTTTAAGTTCGTAACATGTAGTTTTAGGTTGTAAGATTGTTTATGTGAATTTATGAAAATGTGCGTAGCGTAATCAATGTAAGAAAGATATAAAATAAATAAGTACAAGCTATGTAAGAATATGTAGAATAAGTATATTTGAAGGTATTATATTCAAACATAGTTTTATAGAGAGAAGGTAGATGTTTAATTTCATTGTGGAATTAAAAGGAACATAATGCATAGTAAAATGGTAAATTGAGAACGATAATAATATAATAAAAAACTCATAATCATATGCGTGAAACAATATTATTTGATGCAAAAAATAGGAATATTAATGCTATGTTAAATAACTTCATGGCTTCTCATTTTTTATTTCAACCAATTTCTTGGTTTTTGTGTTTCTTGGAGCCGACATTTTCTTGACGTACTTCTTCTTCATTGTTTGTAGAGTTTCTTCATCGCTTGAAATTTCTACGTTAGTTGAGGTGTGGGTGATTCGGTGTTTATTTTTCTTTTGGTGCGACTGTTTTTGAAGATTTCCATCGACATCTGTATCGTTCTTTAATCCCTTCTTTCCCTTTTCCAAAGGAGGGTTAATCTTCTCGATTGCTTCAGCAACAGCAGTTAACTTTTTACCGTCCACCTTGGTTTTGACATTTAATGGTATGAGAAATCTAAACGTGGATGAAGTTTGCAAGCTGAGTTCTCGAAAAAATTTGGAGTTATTGTCCCCCTGGATGATTAAGTTTAATTAGAATGTTGGTTAAATAAAATAAATAAATTATATTAAATATGTTGAAATTAATTTTGTTACCTCCTCAATGGATTTTATGTATTCAAGAACTGTGCAACCAATGAATGCAGTACGGCTTCCTCAAACATAGTTATGGTTGCATTGTGTGTTCCATGCATGGACGACATTCAAAACAACCCTGAATCTACAATTAATAAAATAATGATTAATATATAATATATTAAAAAATTATTTAATAAAGTAAAATTTATTTTTTGCGTACCTAGGATTAGTTTCGACATTTTCCTCTTTGCATTTGTTGCAAGTGGTTTTGTAAACAGAAGCAGAGCATTTTGTGCATGCATTGTACCACAAGGACAATTTATTTTCAATTCTATCAACAACTCCTTCGAAACAATAATACATATCCTTGAAAAATATAAAAAAGAAGATTTTAGAGAATATTATAATTATAATGAAATTTAAAAGAAAAACAGGACAATAATTTTACCTTGGATAATGTATTTTTGTTTTCTATTATGGTGCTGAGAGTCACTTGATTTGCCAACTTCATTCTTTCAACCATTGCTAATTGTCGGAGTTTAATCCGATTTTGAGTTTTATCCAAGCTATTTTTGTAATATAAAAATATAAATGTATATTAGAAATGTATGAATAGAAATATTTGAACATAGAAAAAATAAATTGTATTTTATTAATAAAATAATATTCACACCATTCTTTCAAAAGGGCTGTTTGATGAGATTGTGGATCTATCTGTATCACGGATGCTACAGTAGTTTGAACTTGAAGTTCACCTAAAATTAATAAGTAATGAACATGAAAAAGAAGTTATTATATTTTATTTACAATAATTATATATACAATAAGAATATGATTAATAATAATAAAAAAATATTTAAGTATTACCAAGGTATGTTTTAGGAGTGACTTGAGAAATTCCAATTATAAGACTATTTAGCATGTTTTCTTCCTATTGCTTCCCTTCATTGGATGCTAAATCTTCCCACAGAGTAACAAGCAAGGGACGCATACTTCATCACCGAAGATTAGTTTAATTAAAATAAGGTGTATTAAAATTAAAAATTTTAAACAGTAAAAAATTTGTTTAAGATAAATATTTTCTTACTCTTCATTGATAAGTGTGATTTCTCTAATAGTCTTCATTTCTCCCTTTCCAGTAACTATCATTTTGGAATCTTTGACTTGCAAAACAATTCCACAAACATCTATAGGAGGTTTTAATTTAATATAAAATAAAAAATATAAATAAATTATGAAATAGAATATAGATTAAGTTTGATGGGACTAAACCTGCTCCATTTTTGTGAAGATGAAGGTTAATATCTTCAAAATCCACAAAGTTGAATTTCAATACATTTCCAATAGGATTGGCGGCATCAATAATAGAAGAATCTGTATGTAATACCAATTCTACATCCGGGTTTGGAGTAACAAAAGCTTGGTTTGGTTTTTTAACTTCGCAATTAGAAATAATATAAGTATTATTAATTGCAAATTTTTTCTTAAAGAAATCAATTTCATCATTGAATATTATTACACCAATTTTTATTCCCTGCAAAATATGATAGTATTTATAAGTTAAGTTTTATAATTTGAAAAATATAAAAATTGGTTAAATGGCATAAAAGTTGGTAGCACTACTTACCTCTTCATCAGTCATAATAATTTTGCTGATCCTCATTGAAAGATTTTTCCCGCAAGAGAGGTCAGGTACAACTCGTAGAACTTTTAGGCGTAGTTTGGAATCTTTATTATTTTCTTTCAAAAGTCTCAAAGGTATGGAAGTTTGTTTTTCCATAATTGTCCTGTTGTAGAGATAATAAATATAGTAATAAATTAAAAATGAAAAAATAATAATTAGAGGAATTAGAAATGTATAAGTGTGTCAGTGGAGTATATTGTTAGTTATGAGGTATAGGATTAACAACCCCTTACAAAAATAAGTGTGACTCTAAAAAAATTACACTAACAAGCTTATTTACATATTTATTAGAGTAAAAGAAAACAATCATAAGTGGTCAAGTTTATGAAAAATTGGAAAAAACTTAATAAAAGATTCGGCATACTTACGTGAATTTGCTGCACCAAGTAGTTGAAGATTGCAAAAGTAGTTTTGCTGTGAAAAATATCAAGTTTGTATCATCAAAATATAAATAAGAAATAAATAAATAAATAAATAAATAATAATAATAATAATAATAAAATAATAATAATAAAGTACTTGTAATTGAGGATTGTGAGATTGATAAGATTGTTGGTATAAATAGTTAATCATGTATATTGATTATTAAATGATAGTGATTATTCTAGAATATGAAAGATTGTTTTCATTTGTTATTGTAATTAAAAAGGAATTGATGACATTAAAATTTTAGTTGTTACTCATTTAAATAGACAATTATAACAATGTAACATAAGAGTTAATTTTGGATTGTTTAATGAAGAAACTATCAGCAGAAAACAATCAAGACAAGAACAACACTACAACTTCCATATGAATACTTAGGAAAAAAATGGAATTGATTGGTACCTGTTGAAATCCCACAACTAAGCACGTAAACTTTGTGGAGAGGAGTAAGTGGATTGATTTTAGCAACAGATCCTGCATGAACCATAGTGTAATCACTAATCATTGAAGTCCCCACGAAATGCTGAATCGGCTTCCCTTTGATCGAAAATGTCGGTTTTTCGTAACCTGCATTTTCATGTCTGAGAATTCAAGGGATTACAGAATCTTGAGCCAGGAAATTTGTACAAAGAACATTGGAAAAGATAAATTAAGAGGCCAGAAAAGAAAAAGGGAAATGAAAATTCAGAATCACAAGTTGAAAATGGCAAATATATATAGTTAATTTCCTCAAGTGTCTGAACTTAGTATAAATTAGACAGAATATATATATATTTTTTTTTCTGCAATCCCTTTTGTATGGTATATTCTAAGGTTTACAAATGTAAAGAAACACACACAAATTCAATCAAAATCAAACAAATACACAAATTAAAAAAAAAAAAACATAAGAAAGATAAACCCATAAATCTTCCATTACAGAGAAGAAAAGGCAACCCTTTTCACTGTAACTCTTAAACCCAATTGAATAAGAATAAATTTGATACCATTTAATAACTGGGCAATTAACGTTGTGAGTGCAGTGAGTACTCATAGTTCCAAGAAGTGGCCTGCCATTGGAAAAAAATATATTAGCTGCCATTGAAAAAGTGTAGTAACCAATAAGAAAACCATGAACTCTAATAATGAGTATAATCAAATGCAAAAGCAAGATGAATGAAGAATTGGGGTATTATTTGGTATAATAGAATAAAAATATATCTGTAGAGGGTTACAACAATTAAACTATCCAATTGTAGAGGGTTGAAATTGTAAAGTTTTGTAAGTTACGGACAATAAAATGAGCAATTTATGTACTAAATCTATATAATGAATAAAATGTTTACATTATGAAGTTGTTAAGGAAAAATTATAGTATTATTCATATGATGATCACATGGTATTTAGTGTTTTGCATTATTTATATGGAATATATAGGTCATATATCTTCAAATAAATAGGAAAACCATCATGGACAATCAGCTATAGCTTTTATTTTTGTCACCGAAATATTATGTTGAAGCTATATATATACTATATAAGGGTACTTAGAATGAAAATGTATATAGATGTATCGAGAATCAATGCTACTAAAAATATATGATATTCAACATATTTCATATAATCAAATGGAATTTGAACTCAAAGTGTGTGCAGAGGAAATCAAAAAAATAGAAAATGAAGGAGAAGGTACGTCTTAATAACACCATATCCACTGCTTTTCATAATAAAAAATTTTACCTTGAATTTTTCTGTGGCCTCACATATTACATCCCTTGGGTCCCTATACTCCACCATCGTTTCCACCCTGACATACACCATAACATTTAAAATGACTTTATCACCATCTTGTTCCACATAACTCACAAATTTAAATAATTTGTAAAAATATGTTGTTGTTTTTTTATGTTGTAATTTTCCTATGTAATTCCTAAATTCATAATATTTGAGCACAAAACAGTTGTAGAAAAATCGATTATGAAATCTCCACGAGTCAGAAAACAAGCGACCCAATGTAAAGCGAGATGGTGCAACCAGCTCCCATTTTCAAAGCTGTTATATGAAGAATGTTAAAAGTTTGGATCTAAAAACTTCTTGAAAATAATCAGATTTAGCAGAGTATATGAAAAAGTAATAACAGACCGAAGCTACCTGCATCATTATAGCATCGATCCATGGAAATCCCATCCTGCAATCCCTCCAAGCAGCTAGTAATTCATCACCATCTTTCCACGATATATAATAATTAAAAAAGAAAAGGAAAAAGGAAAAAAATGAAAGAAGAAAATACTAACCTGAAGCTAGTAAGAAACAAGTTCTTCAAGTAGAACAGAGGTACCCTATATAGTTGTTGTCTAATAACTAATACAATTGAGTGGAATATTTGGAATATCAAATTAGATTTTCAGATTAGTGCATAAAAATGCCATTTACACAGGAGTTATGAATTGATAACTATCTGATTGGTTTAAGCGAGATAGAAAGAGAATTAGTGTATGCAGTTAAATGTATAGCTTTCAAATAAATGAATGTTAGGATCTGAATTTAAAAGAGGTATGATCACATTTTGTAGGATATAATTACTTATATTAGAAGAAAGGATATTGGTTAAGGTCAGAAGTTGTTCTCCATATTATTTTCTAGTTTCAGATAATTGCCAACTTCATCCCATTTAGCAGGCACCCAGACTTTATAAATGATAAAAATAACAAAGATATGTTCAAAGCACAAAAAGACCAAACAGTAACATTTCATATTCATTTACTATTATCAATACACAAAAATTGGCATGCACAAAAAAAGAATGAACAGCTCCTAACTTAATGGGAATACCCCCATTTTCGCATTAGTTATATTTTTCATTATGTGTAAGGATCATATATGAAACCTCAACCACAAATGTGAACCTCTCTGGTTGAAAAAACAAAGAATAAAGATTAAGCCATCAATCTACAGCGTTTCAAAGATTCTGCTACTAACCTGGTAAAGATGATAATTCATTTGTGGGCAAGTTTGGTGCACAGTTTAGAGAGGTGCACCGCTAAGTTCAAACTGCCCTTCAGGCTCCAACAATATACCCAACGAAAAAAATACTAATAAATACAAGAAGTTAAAACCACCATGAAGAAGGTACACCTTTACGCTCATTTTTAGATAGTGGTTAAACTTCCTAATGCAATAATCGTTAAGTTTTGTATTTCCAAAAATGCCGTCAGCAACCTCCTTGGCACGCGTCCTTAGTTCATGCAAAGGTTTGTAAAATCATGGAAATGAAGTAAATATATGTTTTCCGGTGAAGAAATACTTTCAGAAATTATTGACAAAATAAATACTTACATGTGATTGTCGACAACATTAATAAAATAGTATGATTTTAAAATATAGGTAAATGATATGCAATTAATAAAATCCTCAGTAATGTAAAGAAGATGGTAATGAAGTGAAGAACCAAATGTTTTAAGAAAGTGAGAAGTATTTATGAAAGGAATTAGTTGTAAGAGGACGATAATCATTTTTAGTTAGCAGTTAATTTGAAAAATGGGCAAAGGGAAAATAATATTTGTTTACTCAAATAAATTGAATGCGAATTTTACAAAAAATATTTTGACTTTTAGTGGGTTTTATTTAATAAAAAAAAAAAAGATAAGTGTGAGAATTAAAAATTTTACATTTTATTTAATTTTGGAGATATATTTATTATAATATTTAAACAGAACCAATGTGCATACCAGAAAATTGTTTAATACATTACCTTTGATGTGCGGAAGTGGTATGTGTGATTATTGTTTGTCCTATTTTTGTTGCGTTTTTCGTGTTTATTTTATCTTTCTTTTCCTCCCATTTTAGGTCCTTTCTTTAGTTTTTAGTCCGTTTCATGTTTTATTATGTGTTTTCCTTCATCTTGAGTCTTTAGGTGTTTTTCATTTGTTTTTCCGGTTTTCTTTTGTGTTTTGTCGTTTTTGGTGTGTAGGTCAGGAGCTTCGAGCGAACTTTCTCTTCAAGAAAAGCTGGTTTTGAGAGCACAATTGGATAGATGGGTTTGTTAGTGACACGTAGCAAAAAACGGAACTCAATTCCGAGTTCGGATGAGCCCAAACGAGCCCGAAACGTAAAATGGCGCAGTCCAGTCCAAAGTCGCGAGTCGCGAGAGAAAAGTCGCGACTCGCGAGAGCAAAGTCGCGACTCGCGACTTTAACAGAGCCTCCGACCAGCTGCGCGACCCCAAGACCCGTCCGACTCGCGACTCGCGAGCTCGCGAGTCGCGACCTGTTCGACCCTGTTTTTATTTTTCTCCGTTTTTACTCGTTTTAGCTCCGTTTTTCGAGCTCTATATATGAAAACGAACCCCCAGACCTAAGGAACAATCCCCAATATCGTTCCTTTCAATTTTTCTCTCGAAAAACTCAATATTGTTAGGATAAATTTCTCCGCTTTTCTTTTTTTCTCTCATGCTTGGATTGTTGGACACAAAGTTATTTGGATTGAAATCTTGCAACTCTTAATCCGATTGTAAGTTTTTCAATTCTATTTTATTATTGTTGATTGGTTTTATGTTCTTAATTCCGGTTAACATGAAATTGAATCTAAGCATGAGGTAATCCATTCACCTAGGGTTAGGGATTTTGATTCTTGTTTTGAATTATGAGGAATGTGTTTTGTTCAATCTATACGAGTTGTGTGAATTATATGGTTAGTTGATTGATCACCATTCTAACCTAGTTAATCGACGTTTAGAACCGAGAGGGGAGACGTCGGTCGATTTAGGCTCGTATAGAGTAGACATGTTCGTAAAAGTATTGTCTATGTGTTGCCTGTTTGAATGAATTTATCGTTTATGTTTGTGCTCTTGTTACGAAGAGTTATTGAGCATAGTCCTCTAGACGTGTAGGCTTGTTTAATCTCGTAACCGAACAAATAAGCGTTCGACATAGTTTAAGACTTGGTGAGATTTCCCGACCCCTAGAACTTCTTCTTTTTCTCTAGAAATTTAATTGCTATTTCTTTAAATTGCTTTTCTAGTTCTAGCTTGTTTTAGTTGATTCCCCAAATCAATCGTGATTAGAGTGTTTAGGACTTATTTTCTTTTCTTGTGTGATCAAGACCAACGCTAAATTCCGAACCGTCTTCCTCGAGAGATCGACCCGGGGAACGAATCCTTCGATTCGGTACTCGGTAAAAAAATAAAATAATTTGCTACAACAAATTTGGCGCCGTTGCCGGGGAAGGCAAGTAGGATATTTGGTTTTGGTATTGGTTTTATTTTTCGTGTTTCTCTTATTCTTGTGATATTTACTTAACTTTTGTGTTTCTCTTGATTATTTGTTTATTTGATATTTCTCTTGCTTTTGATATTTGTGTTGTTGTGAATATCGTTCCGTGTTAGTTTGTTTTTGTTTTTGCCTCGTGTGCCTTTGGTTGTTTTGTTTTTGTTCTTGTGCGAGGTATTTGCTTGAGAAATTCCGATGAATCCATACGATTATTCCTATGCCGGAAATTTGTCTTGTGGAT